GTCTTACTGCGCCAGGCCCTGCCCCCCCCACCCCATCTCACCGGCAGGAGTGCACCATGGCCACCAGCTTGCGTTCATCCGCGTGGTACCAGACTGTTAGCTGCAGCTGCCCCATCACGGCCCCTGCCGGCTCTGAGCTGCTGGGCCGGGGACAGGAGCAGGGGTCAGAGGTGGTTGGGGGGTGGGGGGGGGAATCATCTGCATGCCCTCCCACCGCCCAGCACATGCATGGAAACACTGAGCCCCAAAGCACCCCCTGCTGTGCCAGCAGCCCTATTTTGAGGGCAGCGTATTAGCAGGATGATGGTAATGCTCAAACAAGGTCCCCTCCCTTGCAGCTATTAGGGGTATTATGGTAACCCCTGGTGGCACTACAGGCTCATTGTTAGCAGGGTTACGATGGACCCCAGAGCTCCTTCTCTTCCTGCACGTTATATGGGGTATTACAGTAACCCCCAGTGCCATAACAGGCGCATGATTAGCAGAATTACGGTAGCGCCCAGAGCTTCTTCTCCCCCATGCAAGCTATTAGGAGTATTACAGTAGCCTCCCTCCCTCCCTCTGACACACTATTAGCAAGATTATGGTAGCGCCAGACCTCCTCTTCCTCCTCCTCCCCTTACCTGACATGCACATTATTAGGAGTATTATGGTAACCCCCCAGGGCACAGCTGGCAGCCCCACACAGCTAGGTGCTATTAGCAGGGTTGTGGTAGTGCCAGACCTCCTCCTCCTCCCCCCTTACCCAACATGCACACTATTAGGGGTATTATGGTAACCGCCAGTAGCATAACAGGAGCATGATTAGCAGGATCATGGTAGCACCCAAAGCTCCTTCATACCCCCTGCACATTATTAGGAGCACTACGGTAACCTGCCAGGACACAACCGAGCCAGCAGCCCCATACAGCCAGGAGCTATCAGCAGAATTACGGTAGCACCAAGCCCACACAAAAGTAGCTGCTATTAGGGGCATTATGGGAGCCACGGGGTGTCGCAGGTTCGAGTCCCAGGCCGGGGGGGGACCTCGCCCCACCTACCTGTCACTGTGGGGCACGCGCTGGCGCAGCTCCGGCCCAGGAGGCCCAGACCCCCCATCCTTGCCCAGGCGCAGCTCCGGCTCCGGCTCGGGCACCTCAGAGCCACTGAGGCTTTCCACGCCTGAGTGCTGAGACACCAGGACCTGGGGGGTGGGGACAGGGGGCGGTCAGGGGGGCCCAATCCCAGAGCGTGCCCCCCACCCCCGTCACTCACCCCCAGCTGTGCCCGCAGCAGGATGCGGGCAGTGTCGCCCAGTGGAAACCACCCGTCCAGCGTCAGCGCCTCGGCCGCCAGCACCCGGGGCAGCGGGAGGCTCAGGGCCCCCAGCACCGCCCCCCCCTGGTCCCGCACCTGTAGGGATGGACACACTGGTGGTCACAGAGCAGCAGCAGCGAGGCGGGCTCCCACCAGTTTGGGGGGTAGGATGGGGGGCACGGGCCACACCTGCAGCTCCAGGGTCTCCGCGTGCGGCCGCTTGATGAGGAAAGAGAAGCCTTCATCCCATATGGGCTCTGTGGAGCTGGGGGAGATCTGGGGGGGGCAGAGCCAGTGAGGGGGAGATGGGAGTCCCCGGCCCCTCTGACCCTGAAAGGAGATGATATGCCACCGCCCCCCTCCGCGCCCCGCTACCTTGGTCTTGTAGGAGACGTCGCGCACAGAGAGCTTGATGTAGGCGCTGTGGGGCTTGGACCCCTTCCCGACCTGGGGGGGTGGGGGAGGGTGAGTCGCAGACCCCAGCCCTGCTGCAGCCCCTCACTCCTGACCCGCAGCCCCCTGTCCTCCCCCCAGCCCTGCGGGTGCCCCTCACCCCTGCTCCCCACCTAGCCCTGGGGGGGCACAGGGCAGCAGGCTTTGCCCTAGGCCCATGGATAGGGGGAGGGGAAGCCCGGGTGACAGCACTGGGAGGACCCAGGAGTCCGGGGCAGGCGGAGGGGGGCAGATCCTGGCTCACCGGCAGGTCCGCAGCGCGGTCCAGGAACACGGAGAGCAGTGCAGATGACAGCTCCTCGCTCTGTGGGGTCTGCAGCAGGCTGTTCACACGCAGGACCTGGTGGGCGGGGGGTGGGTGAGCCCCCCACTCAACCTGCAGCCCCCTGCCACCTCGCAGCCCACCTGGTGCCCCTCACTCCCGCCCCATAACCTGCTGCCCCACTGGACCTGCAGCCCCCTGCCACCCAGCCCTGCTGGTGCCCCTCATTCCCGACCTGGAGCCCCCTGCCCAAGAGGGGAAGTGTTACCTGCTCCAGGCTGGCAGCGCTGGGCGTGGGCGGGAGGCACTCGAGCCGCATGTGCAGCCGCCCAGAGCGGGTGTCCTCGAGGGGCAACCACTGGGGGGAGAAGGGGCAGGATGAGGTCAGGTCACAGCCCCCACTTCAACCCCCACCCCTGTGCTGGGCTCCTACCTCATCCATGAAGCGCGTCCTGAGCAGCTGGCTCAGCGGCACCTTGCACCTGCCGGGGGGCACAGGTCAGACCCAGGCACGGACCCCAGTGGGAGGAGAGACCCTGCCCTCCCTCGCCCCCACCCCAGGGCTCCGCCGTGACCCACCGGCCCAGGAAGTCATCTTTGTCGATGTCCTTGTCGAAGAGGTCAAACTCCACGTCCTGGCCGGGCACCTCGTTCACGATGACCTGGGGGGCAGAATGGGGTGAGCCCTGCCCCCCCAGCGCTACCGGTGCCCCTCACTCCCGACCTGCAGCCCCCTATGCCCCACCAGCCCAGCAAAAGCCCAGATGCCTAGGCTCAATCTCCAGCTTGGGTGGGGAGCAAGACCTGGCCTCCTCAGAGCCCGGGGTCCGATTCCCCAGCTCTGCCGCCTGCGAGCCCGTCCTGTCCCGTGCTTCAGTTTCCCCATCTCCAGACTCGACTCCCCAGCCCGGAGGATGCTCAGAGAGCTGCAGCTCTGAGGACCGCTCCCGGGGCAAGCCCCCCCCACTCTATTCCTCCCCGCACCCCCTCACCTCGTAGACCTCGTTCCAGCGTGGGTTGAGCTGCTCGCGGATGACGCGGCTGCGGAAGGCGCGGCCGGCCAGGCGCACGCGGGCATAGGGGTCCGACTTTCCACGCACCAGCCCCCCCATGAAGTTGTCCTTGGCCACCAGGTCCTCGGCCTCCAGCAGATGGATGCGGACCACGCTCTGCCCAGGAGGGGGGGGGTCAATGCTGGCCCAGCCCCTCCCACCCGCAGCAGCACTTGAACCCATGGCTGGTGGGACTCGAATCTGTGCCCGGCAGGTCTCCCAGCCCCTTTGACCCCCGGGGATCCGGCTGTACCTCGGTGCCGAACTGGGCATCGGGGCTGGTGTGGCTGGGCCGGGGGGGCAGGTCCACGCTGCTGCCCTCGGCTGCTGTCTCCTCCCCGGGCAGTGCCCTCGGTGGGCAGGGGTCGGGCGCGTCCAGGAAAAGCACCTGCGGGGGGCAGGGGCTGCTTGGGGGGCAGACAACCCACAGCCCCCGCCCCATGTGCCCCTACTGCTCCCTATGTGCCCTACAGGCGCCCCATGCCCCTACAGCCCCCTCACTTGCCCTACAGCTGCCCCATGTGCCCCTATAGCTTCCCACATGCCCCTACAGCCTCCTCACATGCCCCTACAGCCCCCCAGCCCTGGCCGCGGGGGGCAGGGGCTGCTTGGGGGGCAGACAACCCACAGCCCCCGCCCCATGTGCCCCTACTGCTCCCTATGTGCCCTACAGGCGCCCCATGCCCCTACAGCCCCCTCACTTGCCCTACAGCTGCCCCATGTGCCCCTATAGCTTCCCACATGCCCCTACAGCCTCCTCACATGCCCCTACAGCCCCCCAGCCCTGGCCTCACCCGCAGGACGAGCTTCATGTAGAGGCGGCTGCTGGGGCCCGAGGCGTCGAGCTGGAACCACTGATCCAAGGTGAGGTCGGGGGCTGTCAGGAGCCGGGACAGGGGCACAGCGATGGCGCACAGCCCACCCTG